GGCTCGTTTACCCCGCCAGTTCGCAGGTGTCGCGTTTTGGAGAGCCCACAATTGATGGCTAGCTCGGCATTACTCGACTACTGTGCGAAATGGAGATGTAACGAGTATGTGACCGCATGCGGTAGGACCATCATTTATGCCTCTCGACGGTGTAATTGTAATAAATAATTAGCATTTTAATGTTGGCTTTACATCTGGCAGCATGAAATATGCACTTTGTGAATGTATTCTGTTCTTGTCATTTTAACGTGGTCCTCACATTTACCTATTCATATAAATCAAAAATCTTTGGTTCTATAATAGTAATTTAAGAAGTCTTTTAACCTTTCCCAACTTTAGTCTACAAAAAAAATGTTTTAGTTTATTTATGTGTGCCTTAAGATTTTATTTATGACGTTTTATGGTATAATTAATTTCATTATGTACGCATTACTGTATATACCATACTGTATACAAGAAATTCTATAAATCCATTCTTCTCGAATTATTAGGGTCGCAGAATTTAATATCGCGCGTTTAAACTTCCGCTATTGTTCGTGTTTATCGTAATAGTTTCTAATTCGAAAGTTTTTACGAGATTCCTGTGCAATTAGAAACACTTCCAGAACTTTTCAGGTGCACTCTGGAAATAGAACTGAAAACTTCTGGACCTCGTTCTGGATAGAAAAATATTTAAGGTTTATCTAAATTTATTCTTATTGTAGGTACTTATAAAAAGATGACCAAACAGTATGAAGAATTTTCACGTTTGGCATTGAGACTGTGGTTCTAGATAACAATCGTGATGGGATGTGTCTTTTGTAGTAAAAAGTTAAGAGATCTTGCCGTATTCTCTCTGTTTTTATAATAAAGCGTCCTATTTAACATTAAAATGGTTGTATAATAGTCAATAATTCATGCGTTTTCTTAACAATTTTTACAAGAAAATATCTGAAACGTTTGAAAGCACTTTTGTGGAATTTTGGAGTTTTGCCACGTTTTTATAAAAAAATGAAATTAACCAAGACACAGGGGGACAACAGAATTTTTCATTTACTGGTTGTGAATTAGTCTCATGGCTTTACCTTTATAGGAAGAGAGCAATACAAGTAAAATGTTTATTCGGTCTTTGTTCAGGAAATTCCAAAATCGGGTCTAGCTACTACAAAAATGAATTTAAATTCTCCGGACTCAGTTTCACAGATTTCACAGATCAGCTTTTTCTCTATGAAGAGACCGAGTTGTTAATTATAAACGCGCACAAACGTGCCCGTTTCATCGCCCGTCCATAACAAACAATAATTAGCGAGACCCTACATATGTAAAGTAATTTAAAACGAAATTCAACTCTATAAGCGAGCTTCTCGAAAACTAGAAGCGTAATAATTAGAGGTTGTGGACAGTGGAGGATAATTGGAAGCCATCCAGAACAACGAGCCTGTTACAATAAAAACGAAGCACGCACGTTTCAACCACCGGAACGAGGTTTCGTACAAATGAAAATAATTACAAAGGAAAGGAGTAGGTTAACATTCAGGTGGTGCGTAACAAGTTTCCTTACACATTTCAATACAAAAATAATCTTCCTCCCGTCAACAGAAGGAGTTTTGATTTACTGTGATCAGCAAGGACCACAATTCGGGAATTGAGTTCATGCAAGTGTTGCGTTATAACGCTCTATTGATTTATTGCGCAAGTAATATATCAAGCATATTGCGAATATACGCGCACCTATCCAAACAGTGGTGTAATTAATTAGAAAATTATTCCATGTATGGTTCCCTTTAATGTATCGTTTTCAGCAGTTACTTGTTCTGGCTGAAACTGCTGTAGCGATTGATCCGTCTCTTATATTTGGGATGTTTATAAATAATATAGTATATCTTTCTCAAACTTTATTTTTGTTTCACCTAAACGTCTTTCATATACCTATGCTTTGAAAAGGGCCATCAAAATTATATCACCGAAACATGTCTAAGCCAGTAAGCGGAAGAAATAATAAAGTTTGGGAAACACATATCCAGTATCCACTCATTATTTATGAAGTTGTATGTTAGGAATTTTGATAGAATTTGGGGTTTAACAAAATAGGGGTTGCAATTTAGTGGATTTTAATGACCACGCGCGTTACGAAAAGATCTTAAACTTGTTATTTTTTTGCACTGATTATTTTGTTGAGAAAAAATGCAGTATGCTTTATCTGGATGCCAAGAAGTGAAGCTTTGGAAATAAAATTGACTTATTCTAGTTTTAATGTCTGATTGAAATGCGCCTACGTAAATTGTTTACAATTACACTTTTCGTTTCTTGTGAAAAGTTCAAGTGTACTTTACGGACGAAGTTTCCCAATAGGATAGCCGCGAAGGGAAAATGGGACGTCCGAACGAAGCACATTTGTTATTTGGGAATTGGGTTACGTTTTTCAACAACAATTTTTGGGAACAAATGATTTTGTACTACATGCCTTTGGTGCGGGTCGTTTGAACTGATGTCTAGTGTCTACATGGATTTGTTACTTATAAAAGTAGATATTTTCATACCGTTTCATTGTAGGTAAATATGTCGCTTCTTTTAAATTTTTGGAGAAATAAACCGTAATCTATAACTCTAGCCTAAAGCTCTATCTAAAAGTGGTAAATGCAGCTTTCTAAACTAATCCAAGTTCATGAAAATCCATGAAACACAATAAAAGTTATAGAATTTTTCCTCTCTTTATTTCAATAGGTAGGTACATTGTTTCCAAATTTCGAGATCTTTGCTGCAATACCATTTCCATTTAATATTTTGAAGAAAATCTCGCGTCTCCGTTTTGAAGTGATTGCTTCTCCCCTTAGCGGCGATTGTAGGAAACTAAAAATGACTTCCAGCATTTGCTTTGGCTGTATTTATATAAAAATTGTTTACTCCAAAGCTCTTTATTACTTTCTGAGTGTTCCGTTCTTATTTAGGCATCCGATACTTTTTTTTCTATTTTAATATACACAGCGGCTCAAAAGTATGGTATATCGTTGTAAATCATATAGCTATAGTGTTACACACTTTCTATTTAGTTAGTTGTCATTAAAATCTCATGAAACCTTACCAAAATAGGAAAAAAAGTACGTGAATAGCTTTTAGATAAAGTTAACAGAGATAAAGATAATAGCGTATTTTTTAACTTTTGTGCTAAAAATACACATACAACTTTCGTGTATCCAATGCTTTACACGATTCAACGTAATTTTGTGCTTTTTTTTTACATTTCCTTTATAAAATCGTGCGTATATCCTGTAACTTAAGAAAACGATTTTCGTGCAATTTCCTGGAACTGTTAATTTTTCACTCCACTGCACCGCCGGCACCCCATAGTGCCGCCCCTGAACATTTCTAAGCGATTTTTCCAGATTTTCATATATGTTTATAATTTTGCAAATAATAGGTACATTTTTGGCACCTCTTACGCAATTTCAGAAAATGGCTCAAGAAATATTGTACATTTTCTTCGCATTTTTTTAATACTATACCGAAAACCGCATTTCGATACGAACTGTTTGCAAAAATTTACACCTTTTGGGTAAAATCGTTCTAATTTCCATGGTCTAAAACTGCCAATGCACGAATTGATATATTAAAACTATTTTTTTCCAATGTAAAGATCCCTAGTTTTCATATTTTACCTTTTTTTCCGTATACATATCAAGTTACTTAGTCCTTACTTAATTCCGTACCGTTAAGGGTGGGACGAGATGCTAATAGGAGGAAGAGCTATATTTTAGGTGTGCCAGGGACCACTCGACCCACCCCCTAGCGGCTTTACTGTTATGGGGGGACTCTTCGGCACGAAGTTACATACAAGAGGATTAAATGAATTAGGTTTTTATTTGACTTGATTGACTTCTGGTAAGGTGGTAATCTATTTTTGACTCAGTCAAAATTGAGTTTGGATTCGTTATACCCAGGTACCACACATTGTATCAATCAGAATCAGAATTTTTGCATTCGAGTTTAGGGGTGTGCCGTTTTACAGTAGGAATTTTGGAAATACAGAAAGGGCATACACAAACGCCTAGGTAAAACCGCAAGTTCCGACTTTCGATATTTTATGATTCTTCCCAAACGGTACAATGGGAACCTTTGGTCTATATGGGAAAAATACGAGGAAAAATATGTTTATTTTGGCCACTTCTCTCATATTTGTTGTCAAATTAAAACTTGAGGAATGTCAATAACATGCACTATTTTCCGCTTCTTGAAGCAATAAACCATTACAACGGAATATCGAAGGATTCTCAGTGTTACCGGCACTTTTTCAACCACTTTGATCCATATCAAATTCTCGTGTTAGACATCGAGATTAATGCTCTTAGTTTTTTTCCCAACGATCTTGGTGCATGAATAGCGACTTTGACATGTTTTGGTCAAAATACATGTTGTCGCCAAAAATGCGGACGTACGGACGGATGGACGGACAACAATACAAATCGCATTCGTAAAACTAAAAATTAAAGAACCCACTAGAAAAAATTTGTCTGATATTTTCATTATTACACAATATTTTATACCGCGGAAAACTAAAGGAGATAGAGGGAACAAAATAAACGTTTTGTTTATGTTGTGAATCGAAATTATTTATTAGTGGTTTATGCAATAAAGTTAGGAATTTGTCAAATTAAAATCGTATTTTTTACACCATCAATCACGTATTATGAGTTTGATTTATTTTATATGATACAACACGTCAAATGCCAAATGTATTATATAACCCTTTGGTGACGATGCAATCATCCATTAAATTACCATCAAGGGCGACACCACTTCATTATTGACGTTAACAGCACTTCCGATCCCTGGAGTTTCATAATCAATATTCAATACGCTGTTCTACAATAAATTTGGTTTAGGTACGCAACAAGTTTAATCCGTCAACTTGATAAAGCCGAATAAGCTTCGAGAGTGTATGATGGGGATGAAGTACGTAATTACCTATTTTCGAAATTAAATTGTGCTCCGACGGACCCTAACATTCTCTTATTTTGTTTCAGGCGGAAATATGGAGCGTTTTTATTGCAATTTTAAGAAAAAGTGTACGTAATCTGCAAGCTTGTACGGACGTCGGCCTCATAGAGCACGTGCTGAAAAGGCTTCGGAGCGCCGATACTGTCGTGGCTGGTGAGTATTCCGCTTTTATTAAACATTTTTGTTGATATTGGAAGACCATTTTTTACGTATCAGCTTCAGTCATTGCGCCACATATCAGTCATAAATGAAAATTGAATTGCACATTTATGCTACAGTATGTTTATCTCCCTATTTAGTGAAAGTTCTTCATTTATTAATAAGCCTTAACAATTTAAAAGCCATCCTTTACCTTTATCAGGGGAATGAAACGTGTAGGCATTAAGCATTAATCATCATCAGTCACTCTCTATCTGCACAACCGTACCTAATCTGAAAAGTTTTGAACATCACTAGCACTGCCATCATATCCATCAATGAAAATCTGAAAATAAAGTCAAGCATTTCGATAGAATACCATCAGCTGTGGAAATTGTAAACCTCTTTGGTTAGATGAGAAAATAACTAGACTAGTTCTGTGGAATCTCAAATAATGTGTTCACATAAAGAGAATTGTTGAACTGGTGAATACCTCCCCCCTTCAACGTACAAAATCTTTCAGATTTCTCCCCTTAAAGCGAATTCTCAAGTGAAAATTATCGTTCCATTTTCATCGCCTATATTCATTTCTAACTTTATCTCCCCACAAATAATATGTGGGTGTAATTTACCTTCCTAATACAATTTAAAATTTTGTCACTTTCTCGCATACTAACCCCTATATATTATCGCACAATTGCGTTTAAATTGCCCGAATGCTCCCTCATCTATCAAAAGCTTATGGTTTAGCCGAAACTTTTACATTGTTCCATTCCGTAACCGGTCGTTTCGACGCGGCGTCTTTTCATAAATATTTTGGGAGAACGAATTAAAATCGAAAATGAGTTGTTTGTCTTTGTCCGAAGTTTTTTTATGTATTACTTGCTCTCGGATTCTGCATCACCACCGATTTAATGGATGGAATGTATGTTGGTTTAGGTTTATTATCTTTCGTGCGTGGTTCGCTTATTTTGACTGACGGTCTTTTTAAACTACCACGTTTATTCGAAAAGAGACGCTCACCTCCCATTTAAGAACAGTTCCAGAATTTGGTACTCTCGTAAATATTTCATTCATTTTCTCTCCTTATTACATTTATATTTCGCCTCTGATTTTGTAAAATTCAATTTTTTTGGACCACAAAGCATTTTGTAATTAGGTATTTCTTTGTACAATAAAATAATTTTCATGTGACCATTTGAATTAAATTAAACACTGTACCCAGTTTTCTGAAAAATATCCAGTGCAGAAATTACCCTTTGTCTCATTCTCTTGATTGACATCATATCTGAGTCACCATCATAAGGACATCTTCCGAGAATCTGAGGATTTACTTTTTTCTCTACCTTCTTCGCCTTTTTATTTTAGCTCATAACCCTCTGTTTACGTTTTTAAAAGGTTGTGAGTTAAAATGGGTTTCCATCCTGAAGGGTGAGGCACAGTACATATTTTTCGATGAAAAAAAAACGATTCTGGCAGGCTTTACTCTTTGAAGATCCATTTTTGGCAGCTGCGACATGAGTATGATCAGGGGCTGACTGGCACGGGGGGGCGGGTGGCGATTGCCACCTAGCCTGTAGATCATAATGGCTCGTGGGAAATTTATAAGTATGTGCTGTATTTAGTTTCTTGCATTATTAATAAATTATTAACACGTTTCTCTAATTGGGGTTGATGTTAGGTTGTTAAAAAAGTGTTTTACAATGAATTTATCATTTTTTGTCGTAGTATTTTGAAAGTGCTGAAATACAATGATAGGCGACGCACCTCGTGTGGATTGTATATTTTGTTACTTTTAATTATCAGCTGCAATTTAAAAAAAAACTGTATGGTAATTGATTAACTTTTGAACTAGTAGCCCAATCTTGGAACTGTTTGAAATTATGGATTCTACAGGCCACATTCTATAAGAAATTTTTTTTTCCGGGTCGATCTGAGACAATTTTTTTTTCGGGGCTCAAAAAAAGGCAGTGTATAACCTTCCTTTTTTACCAAAAATTGACTGCACCAAAATTTCTCGGGAAAACACTTTTTCTTATTAATTTTGGTGCGTAGAATCGAAATCAATTCGTACTTTTTCGATCAGACTTCTCAATCAAAAGTTATAGACTAGAAACCAATTTCGAAAAAATGTTTTTTTCGGGGTTCAAAAAAAGGCAGTGTATAACCAGGGGCGCACTGGCCCGGGGGGGGGGGGGGGTTGGCGATTGCCACCTGGCCTGTAGATCATAATGGCTCGTTGGAAATTTATAAGTATGTGCTGTATTTAGTTTCTTGCATTATTAATAAATTATTAACACGTTTCTCTAATTGGGATTGATGTTAGGTTGTTAAAAAATTCTGTTTTAATTGAAGTGTTCTACAATGAATTTATCATTTTTTGTCGTAGCATGAAAGTGCTGAAATACAATGGTAGGCGACGCACCTCGTGTGGATTGTATATTTTGTTACTTTTAATTATCAGCTGCAATTTAAAAAAAACTGTATGGTAATTGATTTTCGAGAAAGGAGTACTTTAAAATGTTTTTGTGGTGCACTTCAGAGCTACCCCCCCCCCCCCCCGCCACCATCATTACTACACTAATACTTTAATGACCCGTAACCTATGCAATTCCACCTGGCCCGCAGTTACCTAGTCCGCCCTTGAGTATGATCATCCGATACTCAATATGAGAGATAAACCCCTTAGATGTCTACCTAGCATCAAAATTATAGGAGTAATCTTTGACCGGAAACTTTACTTCTGAGAACACATTGAGGCATTAGAAAATAATTGCAAAAAAAGCTAATATAGTCAGATGTGCTTCCGAAATTTATGGACATTTTTAGAAATATTAAACTTGAACTTTAGTCGATATCTTGCACAGAACAAATAACGCTCAGAAATGTACAGTGTTAAAGATTAGTAGGTTAAAATATGTGGCGGAATAGGGGGATTAATGCAAGGTTTCTTTCTCAAAGGCCATCAGAAATATTCAGTTTTTTACCACTTTGGCAAATTCAATATAGTGAACGTGAAAACAGATGGCAAATATGACATTTCTAAAATCTCTATTTCGCAAATAAAAAATTAACCAACCTTATATGGGAAAATCGGACATTTTGGATTTTTTAATGTAGCATATTGTAGTAAGGGTTACATTTCAGGGTGGGGAAATCCTACTACATTTTGACTATCTACGAGAGTGTCAGATTTTTGCCCAAAATGTATCCACAGCTAGCTCAATTTTACTAAAATACTTTGCTACAATTTACTCAGGCAAGTGGGGATTTTCTTTTAAAAAAACTGGATGGGTTAACCTGTCCCTTTTTCTATAGGCATCAGCTGGTTGAATATTTACATTCATTCCGCATTCAATATGAAATTTAACGTGAAATTTAAAGAAACAGATATCGATATATAGGTTTTTCTGTTAGTGACCACTGATTTCTTTCTCTGAACCTAACTTGTTAACCCCTAGACTTAAAAAAATTGGGGATGATTACGACTCTAGTTACGACTTTTCTTTTACAAATTCATTTTGACCTTAGAATCGATTTTTTCAACTCAGATAGAAACTTAATTAGTTAAATTTACTTTGAAACGATACAGCACTTGCTTGTTCTAACTGAAACAAGGAAGAAACCGAGGATCCGAAATGTTTTGCTTGAGAATTACGGTCTCCAACAGTCCCAAACGTTGTGTTTTCTTTTTCTTAGTACCCTTATATCGAAGGGTAGAACTTCAAACCAAATTATGGAGCCCTTTTCAACTCTCAGTTAATAAGAACCAAGGTCTTACCTATCGCCACTTGCATTTGTCGACCGGTCTAGGAATGACGCAAGATATCGATCTATTGAGAATAGTGGGGTGATAATAAATTTAAAAATAAATGATTTATTGTTCAAAAGACTAGGCCAAAAATGAACATCGAGTTGTTATAATGAAAATCCTCACCTATATACATCTTGCTAGAAGTTAAAGTATTTTTTCAACAATGTTCTCCGTCCCCACTTCGCTTAAGATACCTTGTCCAAGTTCATTAATGGTTCAAATTTATCCTGCCTCTTCGTCCGTAAGACTAAATGTCATAATCGTTAACGAAAAAATTCTTTCACATTATACTATTACACGGTCTTAACAATTAAATTTGCAAAAAATTAAGTGGTAGAGATATTTTTTGTTTCACTTATGAGCTACTACCAACATTTGCCTTCATTAATTTTTTTTCTCAACTACACATATCTAACGTTTTGAAGTATTCCATTTCTGATTTTGTAAAAATGTTTCGTTCTTCTAGATGCCTGTACTCCTAAATGGAGTATTCAAAAACACTATACATCAAACTTCCTCGACATAATTTTTTTCGCACCATCCTTTAGAGATCCGCTATCTTGAGGTAGGAATTTTGGGAAATTCTTCACAAAATGGGAAAGAGAATGCCCAAACACTATCCTATTGTAAGTTTTTTGAATCAACAGAACCTACTAAAGCTACTGAATCTACAATATTTTTAAGATATACAAAATTTATAGCATTGTTATAGAATGTGCACGATCTGCAAAGAATAGGTATAAGTACGGCATCTAGAGAATGTGTAAAGACTATTTTTTTGGGTTGTCTACAAGTCGGCAGGCCAGTGGCGTATTTACGGGGATGAAGGGGATATATCCCCCCCCCCCCCAGAAGAATTGAGTTATCATCATAGCTATTAGGTATTTAGGTAATACTCCGCTATCCGCTCCGCCCACTTTAAAATAAAGGCAATAATAGGTATATATAGAGAGCAATTTTGGTTTTGGTTAAAGTCTAAAGTCACTAAAATCTAAATATTCTGTAGTATTCAGTATTCACTATTCAGTGAGTGATCAGTGTTGGCAGTCAACGATTTGGCTATTCGGCATCGATCGGCAATTCGCTACATTGATGCCCAAAATAACAAATAGGTATCAGGTACTTAGTACTGCTACTGAGGTGAGGTACCTGCGTCCTGCCTTTCACGAAATGACGAAAATAAGAATTTTAAATTTTAAAA